GCATCCTGCTTGTTTCAGTTACTATGTCATTGAATGTTTTAATAGGATATTTTAAAGAAATCAGAGCATTAAATGTCGGGGGGGCAGTGAGTGAGTGAGTGAGAGTGCAGAGGAAGTAGTATGTTCCACAGACCCCCCTACACATTATATACATTATACAATTACTTATTTAATTGTACTATTAATTTAGACTGGCTATGCATGAAAATTAACTACAGTGCCTTAAAAAGCTCTAACTAGCTGTAAAGTTAGTGTGGAAAAAATGTATAACACCTTTAAAGCTGGAGAGAAACCAGCTATAATATGCACATGTAGTAGCATCAGCCCTTGCAGCTGGGAGCCTTGTCAGCTCATTGGAGCTCCCAGCTGTGGGGGGCCATGTGCACCCCAAGCCTTGGAACTCCCAGCTGCTGCTTGCACCCAGCTGTGGGGGAACATACCCCACAGCTGGGAGACTGCAGTAGCTGCGGTTTCCCAACTGCAAAGGTGCACTGGCTGCTCCCACATCTGCGCGCCCCATCAGGTGAGGGAGCTCCCAGCTGCAGGAATTTGGTTCTTGCAAGTGCAGGGGGAGCCCAGGGTCAGGCTCCCCCTGCACCAGCAGTAAGGCACAATGGGATCTCATTCACAATCCCATAGTCATACCTCCTGCCATGCACGTGTGGCATGACAGGAGGCATGATTGTGTGGATTGTGCATTAGATCTCATCCCGCCATTCATCAGAAGTATTTGGTTTAGCTTGATGCCACTCAAGTAACTTGTTACAAAGTTAAATTCTTCAGTAAGATAAGATATTATTGGAGTTTGCAGTGTGATTAATTGATTTTTGGTTGGCTAAGTTTTTTAGGATTGGGTCTTAAAAAAAGAGCTGTTTGTTTTCCTCATTTTTTTCCCCCCAAGAATCTGATTTAGTTTCTTGGAACCTACCTCTTCCCTTTGTCTTTTCTATATCCTTCTCAGCCAGCCTCTTCGAGATCCTGTTTCTTTAGGATTGATGAAGGCTTTTTCTTTCAGAGAGAGCTACAATCTGTGCTAGATGTTTTAAGAGGTCTTGAGCTAAAGCTATAAATGAGTTGGTTGTTTTTTTTAATTTGTCCTTCAAAAACCACTTCCTGCTTTTACAGTCCACTCAGTTATGTATACAGAGGAGAAAAGAACCAACCTTTTGTCAACTTAGATGTCCAAACAAGACTAGTTTCTTTTGTTAAATGTATTTCTTCTATCACTTATATGTGGCATTCCCTTAGAAAAGACCACCCTTCCTAGACTCCCATCTCACCAATACTCTTATCCTGCAGTGCGTCATTGACTAGACTCCTAAGCACACTGAAGTTAGCCTTCCTAAAGTCAGGCACTTCCACCCTACTAGTTGTCTTACCCACCCTATGCCATATGGTGAATTTGACTGATTGGTGGTCACTGTCCCCAAGGTGACCCTGAATCTGCAGCTCTCCTACCCCATCCTTCCCTATAGCCAACACCAAGTCCAGTAAGACATTCCTACTAGTGGGACTGTATACCTCCTGTGTTAGGTGAAGGTCCTGCACGCAGGATAAGAACCTGTGTGAATGGTTGGATTTGGCTGACTGCTCTTCCCAGCAGATGTTGGTAGTTTAGGTCCCCCATGACAACCACGTCCCTAGACTGTACGGCCTCGGAGAGCTGCCGCAAGAATTCCAAGTCTAGCTTTTCCTCTTGGTGTGGTGGTCTGTAGCGGACCTGCACCACCAAGTCCCTTTCCCCTTGACCTTCATGTATCCTAACCCACAATGCTTCAACTTTCTCCTCCTCTGATCCCATTTTGATTAGGGTAGATGTATAATGCTCATTTACATACAGAGCAACCCTGTCCCCTTTCCTCCCTACTCTGTTCCGTCTGTACAACCTGTAGCCCTCAATGTGTACCGCCCAGGCATGGGTAGGGTCCCACCAGGTTTCTGTTAGCCCCACTAAATCAAAGTTATTATCTGCAAGCAGAAGTGTGAGTTCTTCCTGCTTGTTCCCCATGCTCCTCGCTTTAGTATAGAGACACTTGAGCCCTTCGCATGGTGCCTTTTGTGCCCCCCTGTTCTGATGCCCAAAGGGCCCCTTGGTACTTACCTGGGGTGTACTGCTGCATGTCTCGCAGTTTGTAGATTCTATACTCTCTCCATCTCCTGCCTCCTGTCCCCTGTCATACTTAGTTTAAAGTCTTATGTAGGAGGTCAGCCAACCTGTAAGAAAAGACACTCTTGATACGGTCACTCCTGATATAGTCTGGGCTACTCCTGGCCACATCATTTGTTCCCAAATGGATGAGGACCATGGGATAGTTGTCAAAGGGCTGGATGAGGTAAGGAATTCTCACCATGACATCCCTGATCCTGACTCTGGGCAGGTAGCAGACCTCACACTCCATGGCATCCGGACAACAGATGGGTCCCTCTGTTCCTCTCAACAAGGAGTTGCCCACAACAATGACGTGGTGTCTCTTCTGCTTACCTGGCTGGTCCTCAGTTCGCACAGTGATGGGGGCAGGCCCCTTCAGTGCACTTTCCTCTACTGCACACTCCTCCAGTGCAGCCTGGGCCTCATATTTGTTCCCCAGCTGCAGTGGGGGAGCTGTCTGCGGCAAGAGGTCTGCTCCCTGAGGTGAGTCCTAAGATGATACTCCAGGGTCCCTTCCAGCCCAGATGTCTATGAAATCTATGAAATCTGCTTCAGGGTATTCCCTCACAGCTTCTCTGCCAGGAGTCTTGTTCTGCAGAGAATGAAAGTAGCCATCAATCTCTTCAATTGCCCTGGTCCCCCACAGCCTGCTCGCCTCTGTCTGGCGTTCCCTCACCTGCCCCTCTAGGGCCTCAATCTGAGCACATGTGGGACAGGCAAGGGAACTCCCGGCCTGCACACTACCCCCAGGCCTCAGAGGTCCTGCCAGGCAACCCCCACAGACGGGGGGCCAGGGCACTGCTGTCACATCCAAGGGACCTGTCTGGTGGAGACCTCACAGTAGCTCCAGGCTGGAGGCAGCAGCAGGGCAGGGGCCCTGGCTGCACTCCATGTCACCACCCCCGTAGTAGCCCCCCTCCTCATTCACTTACCTGAAGTCTTGGTCAGAAGCTCCTGTGTACTCCTGTCCACAACTGGCCTGTGAACTGCTCCCCTGTTGGCAGTCCCTGTTTGCTGCCTCCCTGGTCACAGGCTCCCTGGTCACCTGGGGAGTCTCCTTTTATATAGTTACCTTCCACAGTACTTTTAAGCAGTGCCTTTCCCAGGATGAGCGCAATTAATATAATTTGGGGTAAACAGAATTGGCACCTACAAGTGCCCGTCTGTCACCTGACAATGAGCAACAGTAGCCTCTCCTGCCCAGTAGCACAGATCTTCATATAAATCGCTATTTTTAGTATAGATTTAAAATTTATAAAATCTTAATGTAATCTGGACACACTTATTTTCATTGTCACAGTTAAAAACAATCTTTTTATAGCTAAAAAACAATTTTGAAATTGGGACATGAAAAAGAAATGGTGTGTCTTGTGGTTACAAAGGGAGAAGGCTAAAAACTTCAGGTTTGGTGAACTGAGCAGTTCTAGAAGTTAGGGACTCCTGTAGTCTTTCCAGGTCTCATAAACTGAGCAGGCCAAAGCAAGGGTCAGTAGTTGGGTATACTCCAGAGAACTCTGTTAATTATCACATGTTACTTCCCTTCCCCATCTTGGGTCTTTACTGAACCAGTTTTGCAAGAGTTTTAAGAGACACTGCACTTTGAAAAATGTTCGTTTTCAGGAAGAAAGAAAAAGCAGAGGTTCCTGCCATCTTAAGATTGTTCAAGTGTATTTCACAAGATGTTAAGTGTATTTAGAAAACTTCCGTTTGCTTATTTACACAGGTTGAACTGTTCATTGTTGTTTGTGTGGTGCAGCTGAAGACCCCTGCTTGCCATTGTATTATGACCACCTATGTAAAAGGCTTTGACATGAAATTTAAGGATCATTTTATCTTTAGTAAGACTATTTCAAAGTCTGTGGGTGCTCTAGTTAGGAGCTGAAATAGTCATTGATGTGTTTCCATTTTTGTTTCTACTGGTAATAAGTATCTTGGTGTGCTTTTGACTAGATCCAGCTCGTAAAGTAAAAAGGGATCATGATTTGTGACTGTTAAATGTTACACCTCCTATATAATGCTTTTGTAAAGGTTGCTTTGTAACTTACAGTGTTGTGTGCCCTTAAATGTAATGATTACTAGAAACATTGACAGTATTGGAAGAAAAATTAAGCTACATGTGAAAGCAAAATTCTCAATCTATGCCTTAAACAGTATGCTATATTAGTAACAGTTAAAGATGAAATCCTAAACGTGTTATCTCCTACAGTAGGTATCTAGGCAATGAAAACATTAGAATGAGAGTTGGAGCTTTTGACATCAGACTTTTTCTATGGTTTCGTAGCTTGTACTTGACTCCTTTTAAAGACTGTTTTTGAAGCTTAGCCTTAATAGTAAAATTAATTTTGCACAAGGCTTTAATGTGCATATAGCAGCACCTCCTAGTTGAAGGTTTCTGAGATGAAAGTGTGTTGGAGGCAGTAGTTGGGAGGGTAGGCTGAGAACTTGTAGAGTCTTATGGACAATAACAGCTAACTGAAGCCTAGAAATTGGAGAGGGCAGACACTGAGTACTGGGAAAATAGATCATAGCTAGCAATTGTGCAACAGTTCCTTTCATCTAACTTCTTTTTTTTTTTAAGAAGGGCATAAGGTGCTTTCCTTTTAGAGCATTGAGATAAATATGGTGCAGTCTATGGCATCTTACAGGTATCTAATGTTAGGATACAGCCATTTGCCTTTTTATAACTTTACCCATATCCTATAAACTTAAAGTGAACTGTGAAAGAATAGAACATGCAAAATAACTTATTTTATCTGCATATTACTTTATTATCAGACTCTAAGTGCATTTTAAATTCCAGTTTTAATAATCAGAAAAGTAACTGTATATATACTTTTTCCTTCTTTTACAGGAATAAACTACCATTCTAAAAGGAAACAATGGAACCAGATGTCATTCGAATGTATTCTTCATCCCCTCCACCATTAGACAATGGAGCTGATGATGACGGTGATGACGAATTTGGGGAATTTGGTGGATTTTCTGGTAGTGCTTCTGGTGTAGGGTTTGCTGACTTCGATGCACCAGACTACAGTAATTCAAAGGAGGAATTTATACCCACTAACCATTTTATGCCACTTCATGAGTATTCTGACAATGTAGGTAGCCTTGCAGCCTTTACCTCTGTCAAAAATGGTAAAGATAAAGACTGCATAGCAGAACTTTCTAGTCCCTCTAAAGAACTCTATGCTTTATCAGCAACAAGTGCCAGCAAAGAAAAATCTAAGTCTAGAGCATCAGGTACTACTTTTGATGAAAGTCTGGAAAATGTAATGAGAACAGAGGAACAAAGAGAGAATATTGGAAAAACAGAGGCCTTTTCCTCTGAAGGCTTTAGAACTGACATGAAAATTAGAAGCCCGGATCAGGAGATCGGTGCTTGTAATGGTGAGAAACTCCCATGTCTAGAGATTCTAACAAATGGGTTTGCAGCATTGGATACTGTAAATCCCCAGGGAACAGAAGATCTAGACAGCATCAGTGACTCAAAGGGACTAAAAACTGTTAGCACTTCTAGCACTGAGTTGAGTTTAGACTCAGTGCCTAGCCCAGCTGAAGATTTTGCAGACTTTGCTACTTTCTCAAACCAAGAAACAAACCACTTAGAAGAAACAGGGCATAAAATATGCAATGCTCTTGATGAAAGAGAAGCACTGAATGTTCAGGAAAACAATATAATAAATAGAGTGACTGAAAGAATTTCTGTGAAGGAACTGACTTCAGATAGAAGCTGTGAATGTGGAGAAACTTTTATTGAAGATGAGCAGGCTTGCATATCAGAAGTCAGTGTTGTGGTTAATGAAATTGTTAATAATTATGAGCAGGGCTCTACAGCACTGGAACATGATGATAGAATTTCCAACATACCTCAGGCAATTGAGAGCTCAATAGGCACTACTGAAAAGGCAGAAGACAGTGGGAGAAGAAAATGTTGTGACTCTGAAAATGGCAAAGATTTTTCTAGGTCTAAAGATTTTTCAGAAACAGAAAGTATTGACTATAGTATGGTCCAAAGCTCTTGCCATGATCCTGCAGAAGAACATTTTCTGGGCAGTTCTGAAGATGTAAAGAATGGTGAAAGCAGCAGTGAATTTGTGTCTTGCAGTGAAACAAATGAAGATGATTTTGGTGACTTTGGTACAGCCAGTGGTACATCTTCTCCTTTTATCATCAGTACTCAAGAATCGGCAGTGAGTGTGGCTTTAGAAGAATCTTCTGAGCATTCTGCACGTTTCAGTGAACCAATTGATGAATTTGGTGATTTTAGGGATACAAATACTGTTTGTCAACAGCTAACAAAGTTAGATCAATCTGAATTAAGTCAGACTTCAGATACTTCAGAATGTGGAGTTACCGATACCCATTCTAGCTTGTATGTCCAGTGTACTGCTAAGCTGGCAAACGGTAGCGATAGTGAATTTGGAGACTTTGATTCAGTGCCAAAACCACAAGATGAGTGTGTTATTTTCCAGGACTCTGATGACTTTGCAGACTTCAGTTCTGCTGGTAGTAATCAAACTGCAGAATGGAAGGCTTTTGAAAATGAGCAGAAAGAAGGCTGTTCGTGGGCTGCTTTTGGAGATGAGCAAGCTACTGAATCTCATCATAGAAAAGAGACATGGCAATCGCATAGGACAGATACCTCTCTTCGGATTGATAGTTCGATGACCCACAAGGCAGAAAGTTCTACTTTGACATCTTTCCAAGAAACTGCTAATAGGCAACCTCAAGAATTTTCACCTTCAGTTCAGGTAACTAATGTATAAATGAAATAAATTATCCTAAATATTCTTTGAACTATGTGCATAATATTGTGACATAAGCGTCATAATATATTGTATTGACTTGCATATCACATGTACCCTTTTCCCAAAAATCAGCCCCCCAAAACTGGGGTGCATATATTAAGTTGATTTTCTGCCCAGAATAGAAGAACCCTGCTTTGATTCCTGCTCCACAGTACAGCAGCAGTGGCCTTACTATTCAAGGAGTTGAGTCTGTTGACTTACTGATTCATAGTTAACAATGGTGGAGCAAAGAACAATCAGCTCCCCTTTTGAATGCTTTCCACTAATCAAATTAACCTTTCTTTTGGTAATTTTTGCTGACTGTTAGTTGTTCCTGGTCTGTCTCATACTGCTTCACACCTCTGGAAACACTTCAGTTCTTTTTCAGAATTGTAGATCCATCCAGGGAGACTAGCCTTCAGTTAGGGTATCAGCTTTTAGTTAAGCAGGAAAGAGAAAGTAAGTCAGCTGAAAATTGGGCTGTCCCTGCTCTGTGCAAGCATAATTCTGAAAAAACCTATTTTCTCCATTCTCCCCTCCCAAAAACAAGATGCATGTCTTATTTTCTGGCATACCACAGGCCCCCCAAATATAAGTAATAAGGAATACATCTGTGGGTATGTACAGAAATTGTTCATATAAATAAGATTTGGGTTCATTTCATTTGGTATTGAGAAATTTTAATTTTCTCATAAAAGCAAGGGCTTGTTAAAACTGATTCATTTGAAAGCTGGTAGGTCTATTGGTCCCTAAAATTCTTAAACAATTTCATAAACAGATGGTATCTTCTTTTGCATTTAAGGTAGATGTTTGATGGTGCTTATACATCCTTGTCATTCAGAACTGCTTTTAGAGTAAAAGCTACTGTAGCTGAATGTAGATAGTTATACTTTTAATTCTTCACCACCACCACTACATTATTAGTATTAGTTTAAACCAGGGATGTGAAACATGTTGCCCTTGAGCTGTATCTGGCCTGTAGAGGCGAGGCATCTGGCCTGTGGGGCTTCTTAAAGACTGGACCCCACACCCCCTCCATGGAGCTGTTCTGGTGGCTGTGTTCATCCCTGTGGCAGCCAGATACTGTTTTCTAAGGAGTTAATGCCGCTAGTGCCTCCCTCTTCCCCTTTCAGAAACTGCAGTTTCTCAGTGCCCCTGGTGACTAAGATTGACAGCAAGGGAAAAGGGAGAGCGAGCAGCAGTGACATTAATTCCCTGGGTTCCAGACCTGTGCTGAAACAGTAGCTCAAGCAGCCAGTGATTAACACCGCTTGTGGGTTGTCCGGCCTGCAAGAAAACCAGCTGTCAAGACTCAGCCTGTGGGCCCAACGGAGTTTTGGTTTAGACTTTCTTCTGTCTCCTGGGAATATGAAGTAGGTAAGGATATTAACCCTGGCAGGTATCTTTGAGAGAGATGGAAAAAGAAAAGGTCCTTATGTCCTTTTGTTCATGCTGTACACGTGGAAATTCACAGCCCCATCTCCTTTGTGTTCCACCAGTAGCAAATAAATAGCTGCTGAGAGAAGGATGAGTTGCCTAGAGCTCTCCAGGCTCTGTCGGGAGGAAAAAAAATCTTGATGCTCAGTACTGGGTTCTGTGTAAGTGGCTGTCTCCTGCCTGATATTTATACTTCCATTTCCCCTGAATAAGCTAAAATACCATAGAGTCATAGAAAATTAGGTTGGAAGGGACCTGAGCAGGTCATCTAGGCCAGTGTTTCCCAACATTTTATAATCCAAGGCGCACTTACATTGGTAACAGTTTTCTGCAGCACACCTGTTAAGGCATTCCCCATACTTATGAGCTCATTGTAGCTCATTGCCATGGTAAAATTCTGCAGCACGCCTGTTCATTTCTGATTGCACACCATTGTGCTGCAGCACAGTTGGGCAACACTGATCTAGTCCAACCCCCTGCTCAAAGCAGGACTGTCTCCAGTTAGCCAATTGCCCATCAAGAATGATGGGGGGGGCTAGGCCAGCTCTGCCATTCCATCCGCTCCATTGCCACAGCCTCCAGGGGCTGCCTGCGAGTTGTCTTGGGCTCTCTGTTGTTTGAGCACCCCCCCTTTACCCCTAGAGTGGGCTGCCTCCCTCTGGGAAGCCAGCATTTTATTTTTAGTTAGGTTTTTTCTTTTTTTGTGTGGATTTTGCAGGCAATGCCAGATTTTGTAAACTAGGTCTCTAGTCATTGCTGCTAGTCATTAATGTAAAATTGTCCCCATATCCCTTGAGGGAGACAGTGGTGGGGAAAAATAAACGGAGAAAATAATTGAGAGAATATTGAGGGGGAGAGAGAGACAACGTGTAAAAGCCACTGATCTAATGAAATGCAGGAGACTTTATTTTCTACAATTTTTAAAAGTTTTAATAATTTAAGCTCTTTTGTAAAATAATCTGAAGCCAAGTGTTATAAACACTGAAAATTCAGACTGAAGATTACCCTTTAAAGAGAAACCCTCATATTACAGGAAGATGTGCACAATTAGAGTAGCAAGACATCCCTTGCTCTACCCCAGAGACATGAGGGGTGTCCAGCATATGGCCTGTGGATCTTATGTGGCCTGTGGTGCTGTGTCATCTGGCTGTGGGGCTCATGAAGGGTCTAGAAATTTGGGGGTGGGCCCTACTGCTGAAATCTAGAATATGGAGCCCCACTGGAGATATGTAGTAGGAAGGTGCGAAACAGTTGTGTTAACCCCCATAGTTGCTGCTTGCTTCTGGTGCTGCATTCAGATCCAGCCCATGCAGAGTGCAGGGTGGGGCAGGTGAATGTAATGTCCTGTAATAGTTTTATGCAGTAATGATGGGACTAAGACACACTCACTTCTGGTCTCATACTAAATTATAAATTAATTTTTAAAGGTTCCATTTTTTAAAGTTTTCTGTGTGGTGTTAGCAGTAGAATTAGGCTTGTTTGGGTATATATTGCATTCATTTTCTCTCCTAGTTGGGTTAGTATAACCCAAAGAACTTTTACACCAGTTAGTTGTGGAGGAGCTATAGCTGGCTAAGTTACTTAAGTCACAGTAATACAGGGTGGGGAAAATGGTGGATCTGAGTGGTGAATTTCAGCCAGTGGACTCATTTCCCAGCAGCCTCTGCCCATGGGGCTGGGGCCAGTTTCCATGGAGACCCAGCAGCATTGGCAGGATGCAGAGCTGGCCTGGGATCTTGCAGCAGTGATAGTGTGGTCCAGAGCCAAGGCAGAGCCACGATCTGCAGCCTACATACTCCTGTCAGGAGCATGTAGGTTGCAGATTGTAGCTCTGCCCTGACTCTGAACCATGCTGTCACCACTGTAAGATCCCAACCTGGCTCTGGAGCAGCTCCCCGCCCTGCTACATTTCCTGCCAGCAGGGATGGCACTGGGGAGGGTTGGGGGGCTGCAGCAATGGCGATCTTGCTGCTCTGAGCTTGGTCGGCAACTGGAGTATGGCTCCAGGTAGTCAGGCTCCAGTTTTGTGTGGTGAACACTGTCCCCACGTCGCTCTTTTTTCTTTTTTTTGTGCAGGTTTTTATGACCCCTAGATATCCAGGGGTCCAAAAACAACCTTGCGGCATGGAGAGAGAGCAGCTGCATGTGTGGTATGTGGTGCCACAGACATGTCTACGGCACCACGTACTGCATGGCCATTTTCATTTGGATGCAGCCACAGACTGGTTTAAAAATGGCAAAACCTGGTCTAAGATTTGCCCCTGCCACCAAAGGTTGGGCATGTGTTGTTCCATTCACTACCCATCTAAACTCCATTACTTACAGAAGCACGCATAGCTTTGATCAATTCCGCCTTGGGCTTTTTGAATGTCTGTACCTAGTCACAATTTAGTTCTTAATTGAACCCTAAGTCAAATGAGCAGTTTCATGTAAATTCTCAAAATGCAGTTTATATTCAGTAATTGCTAGAAGTCTGGGGAGATGAGAGTATTTTTTTCATCTATAATGGGTTGAATTACTGCCTGAAGCACGCAGTGGAACTCAGTCTACCATAGAGCCAAACCATTTTGGCAGTTAGTTTTAATAGATTCAGTAGCAAGTGGCAACTTTCCCTGCCTAGCACTGGGTCCAAGCTATTTTTAGCTCGTCTTCCTGAGCCTACAAACAGTTCCAGTGCCTTAGTGCAACTCTAGGTTTTATCTGGCAGCAGGATGAAACTAATAAGACTGTGGTAAGTTTTATTACTTTCATTTATGAGTGGAAATGACAGATATGTCCTGGAGTTACTGGTGGGAAGGTAGTGGGCATAATTAGAAGCTGGATGCGGGAGAGGCAGATTAAAACCTCTGCAGGCCACAACCAAGAAGCTCTGGAAGACAAGAATAGCATTCTCTATCCCACAACAGAAGTTTGGAGTAACAGGCATTGAGGCAGGGTGGGAAAGTCCTTTTTCTCTATAGCTGCCAACAGGCATGGGTGTGGAGCAAGTTTATTAGATGCTTGATATTACAAGAACTGAGTTTCAAACTGGTTGTGTAAAAACCTGTTAAGAAATACTAGCACCATAACTTCCTAGCAGCTATGAGGAAGGCAGCAGGGCCTTGACTTTACAAAGCTTTACCAGATTATGGTGCTGACATCCTCTTCTTTCACATCCCTTTCTGGGCTCATGATTTTAGTCTTCTAACTTGCTACATGTCTCAAGGAAAAAGGAAAATGTGGATAGCGTCAATTAAAGGATGTAGAATAGAAACAAAATTGAGAGAACACTCTGTAGATGAGGGGTGTCAACATTTGGTCTGAGGAGGTAGATCTTCTGTCCCATTGTCTTCCCATCAGTGGAGGAGCGGGCAGAAATAGCTTGCTTGTGGGGTTTGCGCCCCCTTGTCAGGCTCAGTGCTGCTCCTGCAGAGGTGCTGGTGTGGTGCCTACTGCAGCTTACTGTTCATTGTCCAGAGCCGTTGTAACTAGCTGCACACCACTGAGCAGTGGTGTACTGCAGTAGCTGCCGTACCAACACCTCCCTC